CAGCCCCCACGGGGTGCGGGATGGGCTGGGGGAGCCAAAAATGCGAAAAATCCAGAGTCTTTTGCATTTTTAATACAAAACAATTGAATATAAAATTGAAAACTTGATATTTCAGCGTGAAACTTTGCAGACCTTTGTATCTATAGTGGGGGGTGCTTCATGAATATTTTGAGTATTTATTATGAATTATGGGGTGCGCCACACAGCCAGGAATAGGGTGCGCGGCGGGGTTTGATGCGCTTTGCCAAATTTGGCAATATTGTGATGCCTGCACATCCGTGCATAATTCCGGCTCACTCTCGCATTATTTCGCTTAGCTTTGGCTGAGAGAAATGTTGGGTACATTGATACTTTCCTGTAGACACTTTGATCACGTGAAACGGGTGAGAACTCGTTGAGATATAGCAAATGCAATTTTGGCTACTATAATGCATGGTGCACCCATGCATCCTGGGGCATGTTTAGGGCCATCTAGCTCAGCCAAAATTCATGGAATACATGTCTGAGAAGAATAGTACCATTGATAATGCCAGGGGGTGTCTGGGTGTAGTATATCTGAGGAGGGGTAGAGGTACACCAGGAGACCCACTCTGGATACCCCACTAAACGTACCTCTGAAAGTCTGAAAGTTTGTATGTCAATAGTACATATTTATTCATGAATTTAACAGATTTTATCATAATTTTATATGGCCCTGAAGCTGGGTTATTGACCAGTTTCTCAGGATCTAAAATATTTTATTGACCTCCAGGATGGGATATATTGGCACATGTAACATCACGATAAATGACGATAAATTATAGAAACAGATTGAGGTACTTGCAAGGGCAAGGGGATAATTCTGTGTCAAGTTATTAAGTAAGGAAAAAGAGGTAGTCCCCCACATGAGGATCTATGTATATACTTACCAAATCTGCATATTGCACCCATTAAATGGTGCTTTCGGGTTAGGATAATGTCTTTAAAGATATTTTGGTAGTGACAGATGAGACTTTGATGCCCGGGGGACATGGTATTAGAGAATGAGCTGAAAATGTGCGAAAAACACGAAAATAATTAAAATGAGTACCTCGGACTTGTTAAAAAATTACCAAACTTCGCATATGAGGACCTATTAACATTCTGAAGAGATTGCAAAAGACCAGATGAGATTCCGAGCACTAGGTGCAAAGATATGTGAAATGAATTCCAAAAGCACCACTGGGATCAAGAAGTTGTATCTGGATGTTGATGCTATTACTGTCATTGTGATACCCTTTCGCATATCTTTGCACCTAGTGCTCGGAATCTCATCTGGTCTTTTGCAATCTCTTCAGAATGTTAATAGGTCCTCATATGCGAAGTTTGGTAATTTTTTAACAAGTCCGAGGTACTCATTTTAATTATTTTCGTGTTTTTCGCACATTTTCAGCTCATTCTCTAATACCATGTCCCCCGGGCATCAAAGTCTCATCTGTCACTACCAAAATATCTTTAAAGACATTATCCTAACCCAAAAGCACCATTTAATGGGTGCAATATGCAGATTTGGTAAGTATATACATAGATCCTCATGTGGGGGACTACCTCTTTTTCCTTACTTAATAACTTGACACAGAATTATCCCCTTGCCCTTGCAAGTACCTCAATCTGTTTCTATAATTTATCGTCATTTATCGTGATGTTACATGTGCCAATATATCCCATCCTGGAGGTCAATAAAATATTTTAGATCCTGAGAAACTGGTCAATAACCCAGCTTCAGGGCCATATAAAATTATGATAAAATCTGTTAAATTCATGAATAAATATGTACTATTGACATACAAACTTTCAGACTTTCAGAGGTACGTTTAGTGGGGTATCCAGAGTGGGTCTCCTGGTGTACCTCTACCCCTCCTCAGATATACTACACCCAGACACCCCCTGGCATTATCAATGGTACTATTCTTCTCAGACATGTATTCCATGAATTTTGGCTGAGCTAGATGGCCCTAAACATGCCCCAGGATGCATGGGTGCACCATGCATTATAGTAGCCAAAATTGCATTTGCTATATCTCAACGAGTTCTCACCCGTTTCACGTGATCAAAGTGTCTACAGGAAAGTATCAATGTACCCAACATTTCTCTCAGCCAAAGCTAAGCGAAATAATGCGAGAGTGAGCCGGAATTATGCACGGATGTGCAGGCATCACAATATTGCCAAATTTGGCAAAGCGCATCAAACCCCGCCGCGCACCCTATTCCTGGCTGTGTGGCGCACCCCATAATTCATAATAAATACTCAAAATATTCATGAAGCACCCCCCACTATAGATACAAAGGTCTGCAAAGTTTCACGCCGAAATATCAAGTTTTCAATTTTATATTCAATTGTTTTGTATTAAAAATGCAAAAGACTCTGGATTTTTCGCATTTTTGGCTCCCCCAGCCCATCCCGCACCCCGTGGGGGCCATGACAATTATTACCATGCATATCTATCCCCGCCCAACCCATTTTTAGGCCCCCACCACACCCAGAACCCACCCTGCCATCCCACTAGCCCCTATCATGCATCCCCCACCATCCCTGCCTGTTTCGGATGGATTTCCCACCCCTTCCGCCCCCCACAGGCCTACCCTATCCCCGCCCCACCCCCGGGAGGGTTGTTTGGTCATTTATTTACCCTCTCCTGTCCCCAAACAAATCCCTAGGGCCCCAGCATCCCCGGCAAACTCACCCCAGGAGCCTCGGAAAACCTGACTGCTCAAACACAGTCTGGACATGTGAGGTCACACTGGCCAAACACAGGGTTTGATATAGATTTTTAGCTGACATGGCTGCGAGCATGCCCTCGCTCATGGTTGCCTCAACCACAGATGATGGGTCGTTCATGGAATATTTGGATGCTGAGACGAGTGTGCCATCGTTGGTTAGCATGTCTTCATCTGGGTTGATGGACTCTGATGAGGAGGAGGTTGACAAAGGGATAGAGAAGGAGACTGAGGACAAGGAGGTCAGCGGAGGAGTGATGGAAGAGGAAGGCGATGTACAAGGCAACTTCATCATTGACGTACCCACCGACACTGGCGCAGAACCCTACACCAGCTTTGCAGGTGCTGTCATTGAGGCCAGTGACACCCCGAAACCCCAGTGCGAACTATACGACTCAGGAGCCTCACGCCACATGACCCCATTCCGCAACCAGCTCATCAACTACGTCCCTATTGATGCTCGACCGATTACCACTGCCGACAAATGAGTCTTCCATGCTGTTGGAAAGGGCGACTTGTGGATTCATATTCCTAATGGGAAGACAACAACAGTTATGCTCCTGCGCGATGTCCTTTATGCTCTGAGCATGGGGCTTACCATTGTGTCCATCAGCCACATTGCCGCAGCTGGCTACGCTGCACTCTTCCAGTCCAACTTTTGTTGTATCTTTGATCCGAAGGACTGCCGTATTGCCCACATCCATGTTACACCCAACGGACTCTACCATGTGGAACACGGAGAGGTCGCCTCAAGCGTGAGCGTGACAACCATAACAGTGGAGGATCTTCATCGTCGCATGGGACACATCTTGCATGACGCGGCTCAGAAGCTGGTCAAGCAAGGGTTAGTGACTGGGGTAGTGTTGGAAGGGGATGACGGGCGGATGCACACCTGTGAGTCATGCGAGTATGCAAAGGCAACTCGCAAGAGGGTTCGGAAGGAGCGGGAGGAGCCTTGTGCTGAGAGCTTTGGCAACGAGATTCACTCCAACTTGTGGGGGCCAGCACACACCAAGATGATCCACAAGAAGCAATACTATGTATCCTTCAGTGACGATGCCACCCGCTACACCTGCCTCTCCCTCCTCCAACACAAAGATGAGGCCTTCGACACTTATTGAGAGTTTGAGGCATGGGCAGAGACACAGCACAGTGCAAAGATCAAGTGACTTTGAAGCGATCGTGGCAGTGAGTACACCAGTGACGAGTTCGACACACACTTGAAGGCCAAGGGCACGGAGCGCCGGCTTACGACGCACAACACCCCTGAGCACAATGGGATCGCAGAGGCGCTGAATCAACGGTTGTTGGAGAAGGTTTGGGCCATGCTACATCAGAGCAGCCTGCTGAGGTTCCTGTGGGGCGATGCCATCATGCCAGCCATGTCAGCTAGAATTCTATACTGTACGTAACCGGTTACTTGGTCACACCAACAACTCGGTCATTGCCTTTGTGGACAGCACAGTTGCTCATTTCACTCAATTCTTTTTGCACAATCAGGTACAATTGTACAAGAGCAACGGAATTCCATTTTTTCATGAATAGATAATCTTTCCTCATGGAGAAATGAGCCTCTCTTTGGCTGTTGTGATGTGTGACACCCAATTTCCTTATTTGAAAACCTGTTTCTGGTGGTTCCGGAGGGCTTTTCTCAATGACATGACTGGCTGCTGGAAAAATACTTTGGAACTAAGGAGTAGATCATAATTAATGTATAATCAAGTTATTTTATCTTGTGTGGATGGATTCCTGCACTTTCAATATCGAAAATTAGAAGGAAGATCATTTTAGAGGTGGGTTGGACTGTTCCAGATGATTTATATTGTGACAAAGCCTCTAGGGGATGAATTGAGGCATCAAAAGAATAGTGCCCCAGATAGGTGCTTAGGAAAGAAGTCTCTTTAATTTTTGCAAATTTCTTTCGAGCATGAGACACAAAGTAAAGAGAAAACCTCATTTTCAGTGATAAGAAATGTCAAATCAAATACTTCAAGGGAAGTTGCAAGGTATCATGAAATAAGGGGACCAGATAATTATAGAGGTGTTTGACTTTCATTGGAAGCTTTTTTTCCCGTAGGTCAGACCAACTTTGAAGAACAATTCAAGGTGGCCGAGTACTGTCCTCATATTCCAACACTATCTTATCATCAGCTTACTAAGCACAGTTGACCCTGGTTACAGCCAGTGTACAGGACCAATACAAATCGGTCTAGTCTCGGGGCCTGGCCGACTTCCTGGTTTTGACCGATTTTGACCTATCAGAATAAAATATTCATGGAGGCCTCAAACCTTCCCGTAAATTTCTGATAACTGGTGCACAGGTACTTCAGATGCTTGCCTATTGAGTAGTACTGCTATTTTATTCAAAACCCCCAAACCCAGCGAGCAATTTTTAGGCGACTGTAGAGTGACCGAGATGCCGGTCATCTACAGTATCAAATACTGGGTCTAAGTAGTGTGACGGGATCAGTCCTGACTGCCATAATGCAGTCCCCCTAGCCTGAGACAATGTGGAAGGGTTTCCGTGGCTCCTGGGGCTGCTCCATGTGTGTGGGACATGTCAACATAGCCAAACAATGCAGGACACAGTGCCTGGACACTGTTTGCCCTCATTCTCAGGGTGTTTGGCACCATTTTGGGCAGGGAAAAAGTGGATATGGGGTCTCCTCATTATTCTGCACATTCCCTGACCATTTCCCCCACTGACGGGGGGCAGGAATAGGCTGGATTGGGAGGGGGACACATGGATGACATGGCACAGGCGTGCGTGATGGAAATTCCCCATTTGGAAGGTGGTTCATTTCCAGGTGCTGCTGGCAGTAATCCTGGCATATTTCGCTCATTTCTGGGTCGATTCTCTTAAATAAAAAAAATACCATAAATCGTAGGATAATCGTAGCTTTCCGTAGACCCCTCAGACGTGAGATTCTGACCATATTTGGTGGCTGCACAGCCCAATTAATGCCCTGCACCTCAAAAATGCGAAAATGCGGCCTCACTGGGCCCCCTCCCATGCATCCCCTGGCTGGGACAGGTGTTCGTTCGTGAACAAGCATGTTATTGAGTCCTATTGGCCAAAGAATATCAGCATTACCTGCAAAACTGCGTGCATAATTGCCTAAACAGTGAAATTCGCTAAAAATAGCCCAAAAGCGCACTGGATTCTCTACCCCTTGCAGGGAGCAGACCCTCGGGACACCTTGGCGATTTGGTAGGGGACATATGGTGCTTTCAAAAGACATATTTTACATAGCCTCGCGTGCAGTATTCATGGCTGTACACTGAAATCACTGATTTCGCACAAAAACACCAAAATGCGCACCATTACCCTCCTCAAAATCCCCCTTTCGCACCCAGATAACTGGTCATATATGCTCCCCTGCATTAACCCTATTGAACTGTTACTTTTCTTTGGTTATATCTCCCTTACAGCCTTTTCTATTCCACCCTTCTCCTCCTCCCCCTCCAAAATCGAAAATGCGCACTGAAAATTCTCCTTCCCTGCACTTCCTGGAACTCTGATACATATTTGAAACTCTTTAGTATATCATTGAGTACTCACCTGCGGGCCCATGTCTCAAAATATACAAATCCACAATTGCAGGACACATATTCCTGTTTTCCTTGGTTCCCTCCTAGTGTTTCACCTCTCCTGGGCTCAATTCCTGGCTGATCCTGAAGAAAATGTGTTCCCCATACTCAGGAAGAATGGCCTTTCAAATATAGATACCCCCAAGAACACATTTCAGACCACTGAGATAACAGCAAACTCACACTGATTGGCCATTTCAGAAGGATCAGAGACATAATTATTTAATCAGACACTACAGAAAGCTCATACAGATGTGCCATGTCATTCCCCAAAAAGTTTCAGGATGATAGAGTCAATGTGGAAAGCAGGAGGCTCAAAAATGCGCCAGGGAAAGACCATTAATGAGTGGTGATCACCAGGTTTGCTATAGCTAATTATGTTTCCTAACCATGTCTTTGGTTACCCTCTCTCATAGATCTTCCATACCTTTGGGGGACCATAGTATTTCAAGACTATTATATATTCCCTATTCAAAACGCATTTTCCCATGATTTTAGAGGGAGTAGACGGACCTGAATTCAAGGGGGAGTGTCTGTGTTTGCCAAATTGGCTGGCAGAAGGACAACATTGTTCATAGAATATTCAATTCTGCATATAATTTGTTCGGACTTTTTTCAGGATACTCTGGAACATTATGGTAACATATTCCGAGCTCCAACAAAAGGATGGATGAGGTACAGAGTGTGCCAGAGCGATGCCATTGTCCCCATCAATAAATCCAGAAATTTCCGGAATAAGGAAAGCGCACCTGGTGCAGAGGCATTGGGGACCTCCTTGCTGAAATAAAAGAGTAGGAAGTATCATGGGAGGTTGTCTGGACAACTACAGTAGTCACATATATAATTATTTGTCCAAAGCAGGGGGATACTGGCCAGATTAATGTACTGACAGATGTGAGGGAGGAAGGAGTGATTGATTTCGTCTCCCATGTACCAAATGAGTGGATTATACTGCATATTAGGAGAAGAAGCTACTGTGAGCTAGTAGGATATGATCCCGAAGGGCAAGAAGCCCAAAGTGAATCACCCAGGGAGGGGTAATGGTGCGCATTTTGGTGTTTTTGTGCGAAATCAGTGATTTCAGTGTACAGCCATGAATACTGCACGCGAGGCTATGTAAAATATGTCTTTTGAAAGCACCATATGTCCCCTACCAAATCGCCAAGGTGTCCCGAGGGTCTGCTCCCTGCAAGGGGTAGAGAATCCAGTGCGCTTTTGGGCTATTTTTAGCGAATTTCACTGTTTAGGCAATTATGCACGCAGTTTTGCAGGTAATGCTGATATTCTTTGGCCAATAGGACTCAATAACATGCTTGTTCACGAACGAACACCTGTCCCAGCCAGGGGATGCATGGGAGGGGGCCCAGTGAGGCCGCATTTTCGCATTTTCGAGGTGCAGGGCATTAATTGGGCTGTGCAGCCACCAAATATGGTCAGAATCTCACGTCTGAGGGGTCTACGGAAAGCTACGATTATCCTACGATTTATGGTATTTTTTTTATTTAAGAGAATCGACCCAGAAATGAGCGAAATATGCCAGGATTACTGCCAGCAGCACCTGGAAATGAACCACCTTCCAAATGGGGAATTTCCATCACGCACGCCTGTGCCATGTCATCCATGTGTCCCCCTCCCAATCCAGCCTATTCCTGCCCCCCGTCAGTGGGGGAAATGGTCAGGGAATGTGCAGAATAATGAGGAGACCCCATATCCACTTTTTCCCTGCCCAAAATGGTGCCAAACACCCTGAGAATGAGGGCAAACAGTGTCCAGGCACTGTGTCCTGCATTGTTTGGCTATGTTGACATGTCCCACACACATGGAGCAGCCCCAGGAGCCACGGAAACCCTTCCACATTGTCTCAGGCTAGGGGGACTGCATTATGGCAGTCAGGACTGATCCCGTCACACTACTTAGACACAGTATTTGATATATTTATCTAGCTTATAGAAGTGGTCATGCATGCTGTCTGGCTCAAGAACCGCACATCAACATGAGCCCTAGACACTATGACACCCTACAAGGCACTCACCGGTGACAAACCCGACCTGTCGAACCTTCTGGAGTGGGGATGCAAGGTGTGGGTGCATGACACAGACAATGGGAAGCTAGATGGGCACTTGAAGTTGGGGCGATGGGTGGGATTTGACCAGGACAGCACCCATGCACACCATATATATCTCCCTGAGAAGCGCACTGTCTCCATCAAGCGCAACATCAAATTTTCACCTGTCTGGTTCATCACCATGCCCACAAATATCAACATGCTGTTTGAGGGGGAGAGTGATGATGGGAAGTCCAACCTAGAGGAGGAAAGTGTCAACCAGCCTGTCAATAGCAATGCCAACACAGAACTCACCACTGCAGAAAGCCCAGCCCCATCTACTCGCCCATCTACTCATCCATCAACTTCTCCACCTGCAGCTCCCAAACGCCCAAAATGCACTATCAAACCATCAAGCTATGTCACTTGACTCCAGAGCGGCAAAGGAACGACAGAGGGGACTTACCGTAACGGCCGCGCTGTGGGATCTGAACTGCCAAAGGGACTTCAGACTGGTGATGTGAGTGTGATGGGTGAAGGTGAGGAGGACTATGAGCTGGGAGGAGTGGAGTTCGCGATGGGGGCTGCCACTTCAGATGCCAAAGGATTGGATCTGAGGACATTGGCGGAGGCGCAGGCACGGGCAGATTGGCAGATGTGGGAGGAAGCGATTCAGAAGGAGCTGGAGTCATTGCAGAAGGCAGGGACATGGAAGGTTGTCAAGAGGCCGGCTGGGAAGAACATCATTGGCTGCAAGTGGGTTTTTTGCATCAAGAAGGATGCACACGGTCGCATTGAGAAATACAAGGCATGTCTCGTTGCACGCAGCTTCACCCAAGTCTACAGCGTTGACTACATGGAAACCTTTGCTCCAGTAGCCAAGATGGCAAGTCTTCGAACTGTTCTCGCAATTGCAGCACAGAACGACTGGCCAATTGAGGTCTTCGACTTCAATAGCACATTCTTGAATGGCAAACTCAACGAGGAGATTTATATGCAGTTGCCTCTGGGGTTTGAAGGATGCGATGGGTGATGCTTCATTGCAAAGCTTCAGAAAGCGCTCTATGGTCTCAAACAAGGTGGACGCACCTGGTATCAAGCCCTCTTACGCGCTCTTCTCGATCTCAGCTTCACTCGCTCACACTACGACCACGGTGTCTTCTTTGCTCAACTCAATGGCAAGATAGTCATTCTGGCAATTCATGTCAATGACTGCACAATTACTGGCTTGTCACAAGGTCTTCTTAATCAGTTCAAGACACACATCAACGCACACTATGCGAAGGTAGAGGCCATCAGGAACCAGCTAGCTTATATAATTGTATTATATAAGCGCCAAGGGTGGCAAAATCTCGCTCTCGAAAATTTTCAAAAATTTTGACCCTCGGAATACAAGTCAGAGTACAGTAGAATATTTACTTGGACCCCCCAAACCTCTTTAAGAACTCCTCCTTAAGTTTAGCAACAACAGACACAGGAAGTGTGCGATGGCCGCGATATTTCCTGTTTGCCCACGCTGCCTCGGGGCCTGTAAGTCCCTGGAAGTATCCGTTGATAAATCGAGCAGCGCGATTGGCATATCTAATCAGCGCGTTAGATCCATTTATTGATGGAAGTGAAAATAAACACTCACCGTTTGATTGAAACATCAGGAACATCGTCAAGGCAGGCAAGTACATTCCTCTCCATCTCCTTTATATCAGTTGTCTTGGGGCTATTCCGATACCGAAGCTTTGCTGCCCCCCAATACTGCTCAATGAAATTGAGTTCACAGTGATATTTTGGGTAGAAGTCACAAATGTGACTGTGGGAAGTGATTAACTCTTCAAGGCGAGACTTCTGATTTACGAAATCGGGCTGTGTGAATAGAAGCCGTCGACAGCAGCAGTCCGTCTTCCCAGGCTCACACTTGAACCCCTCACACTGCGCGTTGAGCCCCCGCTGTGGCCACAGACTGCGCTCCCGGATAATATTCTCCATCCCTTTAAACCAGCCCGGCATGGTGGGGTGATCATCTGGGTAATAGAAGTCTTGGATAGTGCTGTGCTCACCGAAGCAGGTGGTCCTCATCTTTGGGCCATCTTTGTGATGTGTCCATGTTGCATGGGCATTTTTGGGCATTTTCCGAGCAGAGAGGGCATCCATTGCCCGCTTTTGGTGACTCGGTGCATTGTCAAACAGGAAAAGACCAGTTGCAAAGCCATTGGTGAGTCCCTCAAAAATGTCAATAGCATGATCCACTTGACTGATCAGATCGTCATTGTCGAAGTAACCATCCCGATTCTTCCCTGCTCTGAAGAGGATACGTGCCTCGCTTTTTTCACTCGATGATCAGCCTTGAGTGGTGGATAATCATTTGAATGTTACTCACTCATCTCCGTCTTTTAGCCACCCCCAATCAGGTGTTAAGAATTCGGACACCATGATCGATGGCCCCTCTCCTTTTCTCTCTGTTGTCGCCTTTTCTTGGAAGTGGGTCCACTTTGTCTTGCATCTGTTGTTTTCATAGAACGTTGATTCATCGTGTGTGACCAGGATCAAGCGGAAGCGGCCGATTTGAGGGACAGGGAAGCCAGCTGGTTTAGAGAGTACGTTGCCATCATTGTCATAAATAATGAAACGCTTCTCATATTCCTGCCAGCGTGACACGAATGCTTTCCGATAAGCAACCACATCCTCCCTTTCATGGCCATCAATGTACATGCCATTCCGTTTGCGGGTATATCGCCAGTTCAGCTTCTTCAACCAGCGTCGAGCCGTTCGAACGGTGATTCCTCGTGCCTTCACCCCAAGCCGCTCCTGGACATCCTTTGTGGCAACGTAGTCAACAATGTCCTGTGCCCGGATGTAGCCATCTTTTGCCTTTTCTGTCAAGTGTAGCTGGATATCCCAGGCAAAGTCTTCATCATCGAGGATTGAGGAGTTGTAGGAGCCATATCGGTGAAGGGGCAGTTTCCCAGATTTCAAAAACTGACAGATCCACTTTCGTAGGTTGCGTGCGTGATTGGGTCCTCGTCCTGCAGCTTTTGCTGCAATCAGGGAAGCCTCCCGCCATGTATATGAGAGCTGTGAATCGAGATAAAGATTCAATGTCGCAACCATCCCTGTAATTCGGCTTCGGAAGAACACATCAAGCTTCTTGTCTTTGCTCTTGACGGTGAGTTTTGCGAGTGCACGACGCAGCATAGGAAAGTCCTTGTAGCATAATCCATTCAACAGGACATCAGTCCTTGTCTCAGGGCTGTCATCCGAAGGGCGACATCCGTTCCACAACTGCTTCAGGAGCTCTTCGACTTCCTCCTTTGCAGATCTCACTCGTGTGTCACTCTGGGTGCCTGTAGTGTCATGCAACGGCCCTGGGTTCATCTAGTCTTGTTGGTTAGTCCTCGATTAAGCTTTTGACATGCATCTGGACTGACTTCATTGCTCAATTCATCTCTTTCAGGGAAGAGCCAGCCCATGCTTGCCTCAACATCTTCGGTGGGTGGGTCTTCAGGTGATGAGTCTGAGTCTGAACCAGATTCATCCTCGGAGACTGTCTTTTTGGCTACTGTGAACCAGGAATTAATAAATTGTTGTCCAGCTGCTGCTAACTTCTTCCGATTGAAGGCATGGAGCCGCTGGCTTTGTTTCGAGTTCCCAGTGTAGTGCTTTGGGCGGTTGGGCTTATCAGCTGCTGCTTCACGTTCAGCCTTTACAGCAAGAGCTTGAGCTTCACAGAGAACAGCTGCGAACTGATGAATGTTGCTCTCATTCTTCAGCCCCTCTAGTTCTTCCTCATCAACCTCCACCTCCTCCTCATCCTCTGGGTCCCAGTCCGAGTCTGAATCCAAGTCTTCATCCAGGAAGAAGAAGCCTTCTTCGAGGAGTGGCTGCCTGTTGCTGGTAGGGATGTAATCTTCATCTTCTGACTCGCTCACATCTTCTACAGTGGGTTTATAGGACCTTCTAGGGTGGTTGAGGTTCCCAAGACGTGCAGTAGTTGCTTTGGAGTGTCGGCCCATGTCTGAATGTGCAGAGAATGGTTATTTTGTTGCCATTTTGTGGCAGTTTGTGGCCTTTCCTCCTCCCCCTAAGTCATGTGTATGCATTATGTAAGCGGCAAAATCCACCGCGTCGCATTTTCAAAAAGAATATTGCCTTTACGAAAATGGGTTTTATTGCATTTACTACACTTTTCATGGTCAAATTTTTGGACCCTTATTTCTTGGCCCCAAAGCAAAAATTCAAATTATTTTTTCCAGGGATCTCTTCTTTGGAATGTATTTTACAAGTCTTAGCACTATGATGGGGAATTAATTCAGTGTTGAGGCTGCAATTCGAGGCGACATTGCAAAGGTTTTTGGATTACATAAGCTAGCTGGTTCCTGATGGCCTCTACCTGATGATGGATTTGGGACCTATCAGCTGGTTACTCGGGATTCAGGTCAGACGAGATTGCGAACAGCACACCATTACCCTCTCACAGCAGAGCTACATTGTCTTGATCCTCACCTGATTCAACTTCACCAACTTGAAGCCACTCTCCATCCCCATGGACCCAAACATCCAGTTCTCAAAGACACAGTGCCCTACAGACCCACTTGAAGTCGCTTGAATGCGTAACATCCCGTACTGTGAAGCAATTGGTTCGCTCATGTACACCGCAGTTGGAACTCAACCCGATATCACGTTTGCCATCTTGACCTTGTCGCAATTCCTCAATAACCCTGGGCACATCCACTGGGAAGCTGTCAAACGCGTGTTCCGTTATCTCTCAGGTACGAAGGACTTGGGACTCACCTTTGGAGGAGGAAAGGACAGGCTGGAAGGCTACACCGACACAGATGGAGCTTCACAGGATCATCGTCGTGCTATCTCAGGCTACGCATTCTTGATCAACGGGGGAGCCGTTTCCTGGTCTTCTCGCAAGCAAGAGCTCATCATGTTGTTGACTGCCAAGGCTGAGTACATGGCTGCGACACATGCCGCGAAAGAGGCCGTTTGGTTGTGAAACTTCATCAGCGAAGTTTTCGAGCCTATCGAGGGACCAACAACACTCCACTGTGACAACCAATCAGCTGTCGCAATCGCCACAAACGGAAACTTTCATGCACGCACCAAACACATCAACATTTGATACCACTTCATCCATTTTATTGTTGAAGAAGGCGCCTTGAAGCTCGTCTATTGCCCAACTGAGGACATGACCGCAGATACGTTGACAAAGGCATTGCCGAGTGCAAAGGCAAAGCACTTCGCGTGATCGTTGGGCCTGAATGGTCCAAATTTGACTTGAGGGGGAGTGTTGAAGTTACAAGTCTCATCGTTGTGATGAGCTGGCAGCCAGGCCGCCTCAGTATCTTTATTGTTATCTTATCTCTATTATCTCTTTTGTCTTGTCTCCTCTTGACGTGCTCGTACCGTCATATCATAGTTACTTTTCTTCTTATTATCTAGTCTACTTTTACTCTATTAAGTAGTACTTACTACAATAGTGTTTGGACCTACCAAACATAGTATAAATACTCTGCATGTACTCGACGTACATCAGTCAATTCTACTTTATACTTTCTACAAATCTGTCCAGACAAAAATGCCAAGACTTCCTCGAAATTTGGAAAATTTTTGAAGTTTCTGTCTGGACAGGATGAGGCCTTTCGCCCAAATTTTTGCCAAAATAGGGGGTTAGACCTTGAATTTTTTGGCGCGGGCCACCCCAAGTGGCCGAAAGTTAGTCTCCCTGTCCACACTCTCCCTATAGATGGATCCACTTCTATCAGCTACGAGAATGTATCAGATACTGTATTTTTACAGGGTAGCCTCATAGATCAGGACTGTGTTTTTACAGTCCACCTACTGGAGTTCATTGGGATGGCCTTGCTGGGTGTGCCGGGGCTCATGGCTGTGGGCGGAACCTGTCAACACACACAAACAATGCAGGAAACAGTGCCCGAACACTGTTCCTCGTCGTTTGGGGTGCTCCTGCCCCCGCCCGTTCTGTT